CGCATCCGATGGAACCATTGACTGAAACAGTAAGCCCATCCTTCTTTTAGAATCTATTCCACGACTTTTTAAAATACAGCAACGGTTGCTTTAGGGTTCATAAAAGGAATCGCTTAGTTTATCTTTTATTCTTAGAAATGAATAAAAGTCTTAAGGACCCAGGTCAGGACTGTAAGGAGAATGACTCACTAGCTCCACTCCTTCGTAAGACAAATATTCCGTCTGTCGGAGTAAACTGGAGCGTTGTCGTGGTGGATGCTGCTTTTCTTACTGGCCTATTCTAAAATCTTTCAGGTTGAACCACTTATACTTTTTATTTTGTTTAGTTTGGCGTGTATTTCTTGCACATCAGGGGTTACTTTTTTCATAACCCACTCTCTAAATTTACCTGTTTTTTGTTGGTTTACTCTTAGATCAGGGCGATGCTTAATCATTATCTCAATCTGAATAATAACAGTAATTGATTTCTCCCATCACAAAAGTTCATGTACATTTATACTTAGAGTACCATAGTAAACTATGAGTTACAGAATTATGAACCTTTATGATTAATGAATTAACCTTTAATTAATTAAGTAATTCAACATGTACATATGCTTCATATTACTATAAATATTTATTCCTTATTAATTTTGCATCATTACACTTTAAATAAATAACTACACATTTAGTCAGGATAATTTATTATCAAATCGCATCAAAAATCGAATCGAGACGTCCATACGCAATGAGTGCCCGTTTGAGTTGAATACTTCCTGATATTGACTTCGGGCGTAATCGGCAATCGACGATAAGCATGCGTCTGGCAGCAAGCTGTAATTTACTAAAAATACTGATATATGTAATATGTATTTATTATTTATAACTATTAGTCCCTACTATATAAATTTTCAGACCTCTGGCATCAAAGTCTCATACAAAATTCCATCCCCTATTTTAAGGGGTTGGAGAGGAAAAGTTCCGAGTTTTATAATTTTTTTGTTCCATGTGTACTAGGACTTCAAGAAGTACCTTATAAATTTTAATGATCATCAGTGAGTCAGTGATGAAATCGGGGTTATTTAGATATCAATAAAATCTAAAGCATAAAATCTATGCTATTGAAACTTTATATATTTACATCATATATCAAAAATAACATTTATCTGGTATACTGTGCTAAATGAAGCTATACAGTATATTTCCTTATCCATAAATACGTTAGATACGTTGTTCATCTAATGTAGATCAAAATTGCCCTTTTTAGCAAAACATTAACATAAATATCTTAGAAGATATTCGAGATTTAAACTGCAGGGGCAGAGCGGCCGTCGCGCCGGGCCGTACTTCCATCCCGAGAGGCAGCTCCCGCCGTGTGCGGAGCGTTCCTGTAAATCTATACTAATATTATGAAGCTGAAGGACTTATTTGTTTGTTGTTTATCTCAGGAACTACTAGTTCTAATTCTAAAATTATTTTAGTGTTGGATAACCCATTTATCGAGGAAGGTTATATAACATCACAGATTAATAGGAGCCGAGCATCAATGAAAGCTTTTGCAAAAACGGGGAACCTTTATTCCTTTTTAGACGAAGTTGCGCGGGTCTGCTAGTTAAGTAATTTTAAAGAATACTTATTATTTAAAAACACCATCAAACCAAAGAAGCTTAATTGTCTTATCGACGCAATGTTTAAAGTTATTTTGAAGATTAACAACATTAAAAATAACTTTACACATCACGTTAAACCAAAATTATATTTTGATTTAAATTTAATGATTTTTGTAATATTTCTATAACTAGTCTGAGACTTGTAAATTAATAAGGTGTCACTCCCAAGTCATGCGGTCGATCTTTGAAAGTTAAATAAAGTCCCCAAAAAATACACATTTCGTTTTAAAAAAACAGGGGCTAATTTTTGATAGGAATAAAATAAAATAAATTTGTATGGTTGAGCTGTGAATAAAATTCTTCAGCAACCGATATTTTTAATCAAAACATTTTAAGGATTGATAAAACTCCGCACATTGGAAAATATTGTTTTTATCCAGAACCTAAATAAATACTGAATTTCCTAACCTAGACATAATAAAATGAGACGATTGCCGGCACAACAACGGCTTATACTAAACAACAATCTTACATGAACTCAATAATAAAATGTACATACTTATGTGCTTTTAATAAAATACAATTTCAACCAATGTCAACAAGTCCTAAGTAAATCCAACAAAATTTCGCCACAACAACGTAGTAAATAAGCGGCTTTAAGTAAACATGTGTAGCACTTTCGTGGAAATCTAACCTCGATAGTATTAGGCATTATTACTTGATTAGCATGTGCAGTCCCCCGGTATCTTCTTGAGGTCCATTTTCCACTAATATAAGAAACTACATTGATGCATACAAAAAAAAACAACACACACCATACACGCAATGCACATATATGTAGTTACACCACACATCCCCTCACATCCTGTATACAGCAGGATTCCTAAATATTTTCAGGAACTACTACTTAATATTTAAATTTCGCAAATTTCCTATGAATGAAAGTAGGTACTTTCTTATTGTAACCAGTAGTTTTATTTAGTTTACCTACCTGTGAAACTGGAAGGTTGCTGGTTCTTATAGCACAGGATATCCTATTTTTAGTACCAGCAGAATACTAGAATTAAGATTTTCTGAACCTGTATTGAGATTTCTACTACTATGTACCTACTTTTATATTGTGAAAATAAAGTAATTTATTATTATTATTATATTATAGATATTAATCAACTGTTTGTTAAGTTTGGGCCCATAGTTAAGGAGGTAATAAAACATTTAAAAAAAACCTCGGCTCGGGTCAGTTTAAGTTAGGTTAACCAAATTAATATCTACACTTTTTTAACCGACTTCAAAAACACAAAAGAGGTTTTGTATGTTTGTGATGCGATACCTTCGTCAATTGTAAACCGATTTTCAAAACTCTTTTTATAATCGAAAGGATATGCTCCCTGATGATGGGATCCTAGAGAAATCGAGGGAAACCCCAAAATTTTACAGGACTGACAGCTTGTTTCTCTAGCTATATAGGTATTTGCGTTTAGTAGTATATATCATGGTACTGAGCTGATAATGAAAGGATTCTTGACCTTTAGGAGTTAGAGGATAACTCTTTCAAAAATCTAATCATGAATTGACCTTGTTTTATTTCTTTCAAGATATTTGTTAGGTGTTTGTGATCGGTTACAGAGATATGTGCACAAGACAGTAATAACTGAGATTACAAAACATTTAGACAAAAAACATTTTCGTAACGCAATTATTTTCATGTTTTTTACCTCAAAACTCTTCCATTTGTAAACCGAGTATAAAAAAAAAAAAAATTTCGAAGGGTATTCCTTCCCCTTTAGTTCCATTCAAATATGAAGAAAAAATACCACTCTTAGTTTTGGCAAATTAAGTAATATGAAAAACCATATATTTTCGGGTTCAAATGTAACATCTTACTACCTTATCTAAATAAAGTAACGGACTGATTAAACTATATTTAATGTAATTTAACATACAGTTATGTTTTTATATGACTTGAGGACGTGTTATAAATAAAATCACTTCTTGACTATTATATTATCATATAATCAGCGTATTGCATAGGCAGACTTTGACTAGGTACGTGCATAGTGCTTAGCCTTAGTGACGTGACATAACTTACTAATGTAGTGATGTTGCAATAGATGCTACAGTTTAGTACTATACATTACGGTACACAGTGTTTTCAAATATAGCACTTATTAACCCATTACAAACATATCTTACACTAAAATGGTAAAATAGCAATAGTCCCTTCTAGTCTGTTTGAAGTCGGTGCCAAGTCAAATAGGTGCTTGATGGGCTTGGTAGAATGTAGCGCGGTAGCTGCAACAGTCTTCAAGCTGCGCAAAACATGATGAACGTGTTATGATATTAGTATTTTGAATGCTTTATTAAGCAGTTGATAAGTTTGCGCATGTAATTGATCTGGTTGGTCTTTATTAATTAACAAAATCTGCTATTTTTCAGTAAAAAAAAATTATTGCGCAAATATAAAGCTGAAATATTGACCAGATTATATATATATATATATATATATATATATATATATATATTAATGACCAGTATTACTTGGCACTACTTGGCACCGATTTTAAATAGATGAAGGGGACAGAAAGGGACAGAAGGGACTATTTGCTATTATAATGTTACCTGTTATATTGAGGGTACTTATTATAGTTTTTTTACTTAGATTTGTAATATTTTTTTTAATTTTTATACTCTTTGTCAGTATTGTTTGAAGTCGGTTCAACTTTTTTTGTAAAAGGATTTATTGCTTTTTCCATTTTTGTACATATTGGTGGTGATACTTGGGATTTACTTGCCCTTGTATTGTAAGTCCCTCGAAACATCGAGTAACCAAAAGATTTGTACCTTGTAAATAATATTGTTTTCGTGATAAAGTCCCCAGTTACAAAAATATTTTTTTTCGGACACCTGCAATCATGTTTTTGTGTACACTACACTAACGTCACGTTATTGAAATGCAGCGTCTGCAAACCTACCGACTATTACTTTTTTCCATAATTTAGACAACTTTTTAGTGGGTAAAAAATTCAATTCCCGAGAGGCAGTACAAAATGCCTTTGAAGAGTTTGTTGCCTCCCGTCCAGCTGATTTTTACAAGAAGGGCATCAATAAACTGCCAATGCGTTGGCAAAGATGCATCGATTGCATGGGTGATTACTTCGAATAACAGAAATAAAAAAGTTTGAAAAATAAGTACTTTCACTTATTGCATACAAAACGGCAATTTCATAGGTAAAGACCTATTATAATTGTCGTATGTAATTTTGTACAGAAAAGTAAAAATACTTCTAAAAAAGATTAAAATAAAAAAAGTTAGTAAATTAAATATAAAACCTTATTTAATTAAAAGTCTCTATTATTGTGTCATTAGTGTCAAGTATTTGTCAAACAGACAATATTAATAAAACCATTATAATGTCACAGTTTTTATGGAGTCTAGGGAAATTAGTGAATGACCCCACAACAGCACTATTTCAAGAAGTAAGATTTCGTGTTTTTGGAAGCAATGTTGATTTAAGCGCTACTGAAGATGAACCAATATGTTCTAAAAACACAGCCAACCCTAAGCCACACTATAAAATACCTCCTACATCAAAGGTGATTCTAAAATCATCAAAAGCTTGTGACACTAGAGATATTTCTGAGTTAATAGAAGTAAAATCTAAATCTGTTCAAGTGAATTTTGAACGTCGTAAACATCGTCAAGTGTCGATACAATGCCAAAATTTACACCATAAGACTTGTAAGTCGACAAGCACAAGTTTACATATCCATTCTTTAGATCGCAGCACCGGTGAGTCCCAAATTGTAGAAAAAAAAGATACAGAGACTCATCCACAAGAAATGAAGCTCTGCCAAAGTCATTATGAAACATTATTACAATTACAAGACTGGGAAGCCCTAAAACAAAAGCTAAATAGTAAAAAGAGCAGTAAATTCTGCCAGTTGAAAGCAGCACTCGCCAACTTAGCTAGTTTATTGAAAATTGAAAAGATAGAGAGTTTATCACCACACATACATCCAAATGAACAAATAATGACCTTATACAAACGTGAAACTTGGCACTTGGTGAAGAAATAACACATGCATTTCTATCCCAAACAGATGTTGGTTAATTAACAAACAATATACATATTAATTGTATTGAGTACAAACCAAACTATAGCAAATTATGTAATCCTTTCTCGTCTTGTGAAAATTACAGCAAAGTTAAATAAGAGCCACGAAAAGAAGAAACTAATCTTCAAAATATTTATATAATATTCGTGTTATTAAAATCCAAATCTAATAATACCTACCTATATGTATTTTTTATAAAAATTTGGCTGCATTAGAGCGAACCGCAAACCAATACGACTCTTGACTGAAAGCAGCTTGTTATAATAGAATCGTTCAATCGGTAGGTAACAAGAAAGCGATTCGTGATTGGCATGAAATATAAACCAGATTCAATAAGTATTCAGTTTTTTTCTAACTAAAACACAATTTTAGAGACAAAAACTGTCCATACATTAATTAGGGGCAAGCACTTTAAAAAATAGGAATTTGTTGTGACTACTCGTAGATAGTATTATTTTCATCATATCATTGTCCTCATCATCATCAACAGCCTTTAATAGTCCACTGCTGGGCATAGGCCTCTCCTTAGAAAAATATTGGTATACTATACCACGCTGGCCAAAACGGTTGGTATAGGGTTTGTTTCAAGTTTTTCTTCTCTTTGCAGTGCTGTTGTCCTAAGTAGTTTGCTCCCTTAGTCGGCTCTTACGTAGCCCACGGGATGAATAGGGGTGGTGACGCTCCGTATTCCTAGACCATCACACCTTTTATTTTGCATTCCCAATAAATGAAGTCAATTGTAAATAGATTAAGAAGTTTTACATTGCATCTAATTGGAACTGTGAATCTTGATCTATTTTACGACAGTAAAATCCTATATTTCAATTGAATTTTTGTTTACGATTGGGAAGCTATTATTGATAAAATAGCTATTTCCTTGTTGAATTCTCCTTTTCCATTTACTGTCGCATCTTAATACTGTTGTTATTTTGTCACCAAATTTATTATTTTACCCATTTCACTTTAGTAAATTCTATTCCGTTTCTTCCCTATTATATTGTTTGATCCACTAGTTGTAATCGTTTAATCTATTTTATTGCATAACACTTCTATTCTCTTAATCATCACTTTATTTATTATCTGTAATACCGATTTTTATACTAGTAAGTACATAACCCACTATTCAACAATTGTAAGAAAAAATAAACATATCATAATATTTATTCCTAGATAAAATTTCCTGGTTTTTTTTTGTTGAGAATTTTTGTTTTTGTTTAAATTAGATCCCTTTAACTCCACAAACTCGATACGCACAGCACGTCTTCAGAAATATATTTTGAAATAGAGTTGACAATACATGAAAAACAACAACTGATGTCAACTTTAGTATCTAAAGCGATCAATAGATATCATTATCAATAATTCATCAATTAAATGTCATTATCAATTAAAAGTAATTAAATATACACGCTTTGCAGCGTTAGAGATACCGAGGCAGAAACTCGAATCTAGTCAAGTCTCCCCGAAGTACATACGTGACTCTATCTGCTTAATGAATACAAACATCTGTGTTACTATGCACTACTATTATTTGCAAGCAACGAATAAAAAAATATGGAAACCAATGCGATAAAATCAATAAACCGAAGTAGGTAACCTCATCATTCAAACTACGGGGACGTAGATTTTGACAACAGGATAATTTATTACCCTATTCAAGTTTGATCAAACAGTATTGAACTTAAAAAATATATATATAAACTGGAATACTTTACGGTTGTGCGGTTCCGTAGAAACCTTAATCCACAGAAACACGAATAGTGAAATAAAATATTTGATAAGAAAAGAATACAGTTAATAAATTACGCATTATTAGAATAAATTTTAGGTTTTTTGATGAATTTTTTTAAAGTTGTAGTTGATAGCAGCGCTGCTTCTTCATAATGTTACCGGTATTCGGAAATTAGCCTATAGAAGTAAGCCAAAGGTCGATCATTGTAAAAGACAGCCCAATCACAGCCCTAAGTATTTTTCCAGCTTTCCTTCAAAACTCTACTCATATTGCAAATTGTCTAGTTGTATTTTATTGTAGGTACTTATTCATTATGATCATAATACAAAAGACACAATCAAGCTCTCATTTCAAAGACTTGAAGATTGTCTTAGAGACGATCTTTAAATCCAGCAAAAGGGTTTTGTAAATGAGATGGGATAAACTTAATCAAAAATTTAATGTTAAATTAAATTGTACATATTTATCATCAATTGCTAGTTTATATTTATATATTTATTTTGAAATGATGAAGTACTTTGAAATCAACTTGGGCAATTACAACATCTTTGCTTGGCAATGCCAAAAGGCACCAATTTCTAGTCACTTTTGCTTGTGTAAGTTTTATTCCTGAAGTGAAAGCTAAGTAAAAGAAATTAAATAAACACTAAATATATTTAGAAAATTATCTATATAGTATTACATTTATTACTTATTTTAAATGAGACTAAGATTCTGCTGCGACGCATTATCTTAAGAAAAATTGTATCTCTCAATATGCTCATTTAATATTTATCCTAAAAGTGTTTTGTTTTATACAAAGTTGGCAGGAGCAGCGAATCGAGAATAAAGTAATCATGATCTCTAAGGTGCAATACATTCTTACTAAACTTTCACCATCTCTCTTGATGATAATAATAAATAAAATAAATAAATAATATAAGTGACTTTTGGGTCTAAGAGAATAATTTGATTTGTTTCCCTTGAACTCAGCACTTAGTCTGTAATAATTTAGAGACTAAATACCGACTATATAAGAGCTTCTTACTCTCTAACATTCTTTCGTTTGAAAGATTGGATGAAATACATTATGGTTCAATACAATAACAGCTTAAGTTACTTAGGCAGGTCGCCATTGTAATTTGTTCGAGACGTCGGGCAAATCAAAGGTAAATACATACTTAATACCTAGTGTGAGCGCATTCATTCTCGTAACAACAATTATATACATAACTGTAAGTTTGTTTACTGTTTTTTTTCTCACAAGTCTCAAATGATTAAAAACACGGTTTTCTGTTACGGCTTTTTTGAATAATATTAAATACGACACAGCAACTCATTATTTTGATAAACTTGTAAGTTTTGTAATGTTATAGAAAAAAAAGCAATAGATGATATCGAATAATTGGTGAAGTAGCGTAGAAAGGTATTGAATTTTAATTATTTGCTATCTAAATGGAGTGGTTTATTCAAGTTTTATATAAATTTTTGAAAAGTAAAGAGCAAGTGTTTATTGAGACATTACCCTATAATTTAATTTTTGTGGTAATATCTTAGGTAACAATTTGAAGAGGATAAAAGGAACACGTGTAACAGCAAAACCTTTAAAAATACTAAAAAGAGAAAAGAATATTCTTAAGCGAAAACAATAATAACGTGTCGGTAAATTAAAGTATTTGTTTACGTTTGGTATGTAGATAGATACTACGATCTATAAAATAAACTGGATATACATTCTTTGAACTTCTCTTTCTACATTAGAAAGAATAAGGTAATTCTGAATATATCACCAAAACATAATACCGTCAGCAACCTAAAGAGTTTGTGCCGTTCTATCGTCTATGTGAGTATGGCACACTAGGCTTTGTTCGCGGCTTCATGCGCTTTATTGTAAATTTTGTCAATTAATTCAGATTTCCCTGGAGTACTGTACTTTTATATTTGAATTAACTTTTTAATACTACTGTTTAGGTTTTTCTTTTTGAGATAAAGTAATCTATAGAAAACATTGGTCAGGGAATATTCTCTATTGATAACTGTTAGAAAAATTAATGCATTTTTTATGTTTTAATGCACTTTTATTTTGTAATATGGAGCAATCTAGTTAATTGCAAGTAACATTACTAGTACCAAATGTTAGTATGATCTGCAAATATTTGTTTCGGAGTTTGAGTGGTTTCCATGTATAATATGCAAAAAAAGTATGTAAGGATTATCAAGCAATCTAGCTTTCATAGCTTTCACGAGCAGATGGCGTTGTTTGTCAGATGTCCGAAATATTATTATTATTAACTGGTGTCATAAATTGTTACCATGAGAAATCTCGAAGCATGAATTTATTCAAATTGATTGTTTCTCCATTCGCCACTACACTCACTTAAAATGCAATGCAATAAAGTGAGAATAATGCCTGTCTAGTACGTAGTTATACATAATTATGTGCATACATATATGTATAATTGTTTGTGGGGTGTATAGCCTAAACTAATTGACGTATTAGACGTAGAGCCCAGACCGCTGGGTCTACAAACTTCAAAATTTGGCAGCTGATGTTTTTTATGTTGTAAGCACCCACTAAGAAACGATTTCTGGAAATTACACCCCTAAGGAGGTAAAATAAAGGATAAAAGCTTGTATGGAAGTTTGTCATTTTCTAAGTTCCTTTTTCGTGTTTCTACGAAATAGAAAAAAAAATTACGTGAGTTAGCTAGTCGCGAAGTTCACTAACATTAAAAAAAAACACTAAAAAAAATTGAACTAGCTCTGTGAGTTAATAGTATGAAATGTAAATAACAATAAAATTTCACATACTAAGAAAAACTACATCTAAAACAACTAGTCATCAACTCCACTGCAGGTTACCGTGAGTTTCGGGGCACAGTGGTCTTTTTCTGTGAAGCTGTAGTGCTCTAGAAAGAGACCGCTAGACGGAACTGGGAGACGAGCGATCCCGATAGTGAAAGATGGCGGCTGTGTGCCAAAAAGTGTTAACCTCTGGTTGCAGATTAGGGTAACTGCGGTAGGGCGGCCTATCAGCCTTTTTTTATGACACAGGGGGCAAAAGAGCAGCCGTGTCACCTAATTGAAAGTGATTATCGCCACCCATGAACGCCTGCAACTTACGCCTGCATGCGGGTTGCCGGCCTTTGAGGTGGAGGTATGATCTTTCTTTGAAGGTCGTATCGGTCCGAAAATACCGCAGGTGATAATTTGTTCCACAGACTGGTTGTGCGAGACAAAAAGTGTCTTG